TGACCCAGAAATGGCTAGGTGGAAGTGTCTAGGTACGCCGGACATGGGGGTGTATTGTGAATCTCTATCACCATGACACTTGGCATTTTAGCAAGCCATGCAATTCTGGAGAAAGAAATCAGGAAGGAGGCTGGGAACCCTCAGTTACAAGTACATTCACTTCACACAGGTGAGCTGCATTCAGAACTCAGGGTTCACTCCCCCAGTGAGCCTCAGAGCCCTCTCATAGAACTGCAGGGCCTCCTCCTTGTCCCCCTTCAGTTTGTGGACTAACCCGAGCAAGCTCATGCTCTCCTTCAGTTGAACATTCTGGTGAACACGTCTTGTGGCCACTTTCTCCAAAGCTGTGAGTAGTTTCCTCCAGACAAAGGTCTTTTCTTCTATTTTCAAACCTTTTAAGTAGTGGGTGATCGCCCTGTCTTCTGATTTCTGATGAAATTGTTGGTAACGGCCATAGCGGAAATGAATATCCTGCTCTATGAGACACTCAAGATTCTTCATGTTCAGCACCTTCTGGAAATTTGCCTCTGCTTCTTCATGTTGGCCGATTTCTGCCTGAACTTCTGCCATGCAAACATAAGCCATCTCAAATGTGGGCCTGAGTTGCACAGTCTCTTGAAATTCACAAATGGCCTGTTGTGCCAATTCCTGCACATCACTCTGACTTCTGGGCTGCTTGTTTCTAGATGCCAGCAATGGAATCATTTGTTGCTTGTAGCAGAGCCCTAGTTGGTAATGCAGGTAGCCAGAGGCAGGTGACGCCTGCAAGGCCCTGTGTAGCAGAGGGAGAGCCTTGTCTATGCAGCCTTTCCTTCAGTAATACTTGGCTACAGAAAGAAAGACATAGTGTTGGCAGGAAGTGCTACTGAGGGCTTCTTCAATGTGTGTTTCTGCTTCAGCTGCTTCTCCTAAGACCTGAAGCTTCAGCGCAAGATAAACTTTAATAAATGGATCTTCTGGATTTAACCTGACAGCCTTCCTTAGGGGTGCTAGAGATATATTATTGTCATCACAGTCTTGGCGATAGGCTACAATAGCATAGCCAATGTTGTATTCAGGGTTTTCAGGCTCCAATTCCAGAGCCTTTGCAAAGCAGGCCATGGCTCGTTTATAATTCTGTCTTCCACACTTCAGCAAGGCCCAGCCTTGCTCACAGTCCATCTCAGCACACTCTATACTATAGCGGAAGGGACTGCCCAATTCCTTGCATGTGTTCTCCACCTTGACCAGGTAGGTCTGGGCTTCTGCCAGGCTGCCCATGTGGTAATGCACCCAGGCACAGTTGCCCCAGGTCACCAGGCTTCTCTTGCCCAACTGCTCTCTCTGGATCAAGGCTTCTGCTTCTTTCAAGCTGTGCAGGGCTTCCTCATGCTGGCCTTTCAGGTGTCTCACATAGGCCCGGAGGTTGAACATTCCTAATGTGTCCTTGATGTCTAGGAACGCAACCTCATCTGAGATCCTCATTTCCAAATCAGGTATGTCAATGTCTTCAAACAGCAGCCCCCATGTGAAGTGACAACTCAGCTGAATCAGATTCTCCTTGATCTGATCACCACCAGCATTCTCTCTGTGAGAAGGAAGCAGGTGATTTGTTATGTGAAAAATGAACAGAAATTGACACCAAGCAAAACACATTTCACAACATTCTTGCTTATTTCTTTGAAGTGTGACATCTCATTCCTTTAAAATTTCTTGACTTGTTTTTATATCAAACCCCCAGCTCCATTTATTTGAACTGCCAGAGACTCTTTGTACATGCATGTACATGTACTTGTACTTACACTCTTAGGTTGTAAGTTAATCCTTTCAGTTAAGACTGGACATTGCCACACAGATACAGGCACACAAACATACGTGCCAGACTTTTTCCCTGAGGTTTGGAACTCTAAAAAACTGTTCCCCATTCCTTATATCTTTGGACTATGTGTACAAGTACATGCCACCTAAGCTGACATAAATGGGACCTGTCTTTGTGGTAAACACTCACTGTTGAGCAAAAGTCATTGCAGGGTCTGCCCCTCTCATCTCTGACACAAACAAGGAACTGGTATCATGTTCTCCTCTAGGCTGACTCAAAAGAAATGATCATGCTCTTTGCCTTGTGACACTAGACACATGAGTGTTCTCTGGACCTTTTATTCTTGTCTATTTAGGTGAGGGGCTTCTAGATAATGACTCAACTTCACTCTCCCTTACTATGGTTACAAGGAATCCCTGCATTTTAAAGACACTTATACAAACTTCATGCATTTTCTTGTTTCCCTATAGAGCAGTACAAGTGCTTCCCATGTCTGTCTCACACATGCCTGAGTATCACACTGTATCCATCAGTGAAATTGGAATAACCTTAGTATTTTCTATACAAGACTATGAGAATATAGTGAGCCTATAAATGTGTAGCATGTGGTATGTGTTAAAAACTCTATTAGAGCTTCCTACTTTCCTATCAGTATTGAGAACAACCTATAGATTCTAGTCACTCAGGTTTAGGGTAGGGACCCGAAAACAAGAAGCTTTGAGATTTATCAGAGCTCAGAAGGCAAAAAGGCCCTTGGTCCTGTTGGTAAGTGTCTCTTCCAGAAACTCGAGATGCCATCATGCTTAAAGCAGCTGTCTTTGTTTTTCACCTGGCCATGCCAAGAATAGAAGAATACAGGTATGCTGTCCTCTTAGGTCTTACCCATAACTGAGCACACTGGCATTGTGCCCATAAGGGTAGGCTAATGGAAACAAACAGCCATCTAGATACGTCATGGATCAGTCAATTGGTCAGGTTAGCTCACCTATACCTCATGCCTCCATTCATGAATGTTATGAACAATGCAATAGCGACCATTGATGGACTCTCTCTTCCAGGTCCCAATTTTACTAGACCATAGTAGTTGTCAACCTTCATAATGCTGCAGCCCTTTAATACAGGTAAGCAACTTGTGGTGACTGCCAAACTTGAAATTATTTCATTGCCATTTCATAACTGTAATTTTGCTACTGTTCTGAATCATAATATAAATATCTGATATGTGTC